ACAAGGTGAGACTTATGGCGAAAGGATTTATTCATAAGCAAGGATCGAAACAATCAGGTTGGTTATTGGCCTAGCAAACATGAACAATTGGCACACATGTCAGATGGATATGAAATGTGCATTCCTGAATGACCCCTTAGACGAATAAGTTTATCTTGTACGACCAGCTGAGTTTGTGAAATAAGGCAAAGAAATAAAGGTGTACAAGCTGCATAAAGCCCTGTATGGACTTAAGGAAGCTCCAAGAATTTAGAATAAGAAGATCGACAACTTTCTAAGGGAGAATGAATATGTGAAATGCATAATTGAGCATGGAGTATATGTAAAGAGAAACAATAGTGAATTGCGTATACTATGTCTCCATGTCGATGACCCATTGATAATAGGAAGTTGCAAGAAGGAGATCAAAGATTTCAAACATGACCTAAGTGAAGAGTTTAAAATTTCAGACTTAAGAAATCTCTCATATTTCCTTGGCATCGAATTCTACAAGAGTGGTAAAGGTTTGATGATGCACTGAATAAGATATGCAGGCGAAATACTCAAGAGATTTGAGATGCAAGATTGCAACCCAACTTCAACTCCAGCTGATACTAGATTGCAACTGTCGAAAGATTCATATGAAGATAATGTCGATCTAACCCAATATAGAAGACTTATTGAGCCACTTCGATACCTTTGTCACACAAGATCTGACTTAGCATACATTGTGGGTATGGTAAGTAGATTCATGCAGAAGCTAAAGGTATCACACCTAGCAGCGACGAAGAGGATACAGAGGTATCTAAAAGAAACTCTCGACTATGGCATGTTGTTTCCTGCAGCTGATGAAGGAAAAGAACGTAAGATAGTGGGATACGCTGATTCAAGTTGGTGTAGTGATACTGAGGATAGAAAATCCACAACTGGCTATGTGTTTATGTTAGGTGGTGCACCAGTTACTTGGAGTTCGAGAAAGGTAGCAGAAGGGGAGATGAATTTAGAACACTGTAGAACTGAGAATTAGATTGCAGATATCATGACAAAGAGTTGCAAATCAAAGTTTTTAGAAGACTAAGAACCATTATGAATATAGATAGTTTAGACACAACAAATTAGGTCGTGTGTTAAGAATGTAATTCTTTGTTTCAAAATATTTATGTGTCGAGTTGTATTAATGTGTCGAAGTGTCAAAGCATGTTACTTCACACAGGATTTCGACTTACGCCTATTTTAGTAATGTTAACTATTTTGGACTTTTATAGTCTTGGGCTTTGCCTTAAGATGCAAGCTAACCTAAATCTATAATATGGAGTACCCTTATTTTATAAACAACTCATATAACATTGTATTCACAAAATTCGCAGTTGCAAGTGAATAAAGAAGTTTCCACAGTTTGTGAGCAGAGAGAAACTCTGCAGAAAATATTCTTCTTCTCCTCAAACATTATTTTCTTTCTTTCTTTCTCAATCTTTTTTTCATTATCATTGCGTGATGGATAACAATCTTATCCATCGAGATAAATTCAACATCGAGAAGGTAAATGGGTAGGATAAATTCATCCAAAATAATTTTGTCGGAGTTTGATCTCCCTATAGATAATACATGCTTAAGAAAAATATTTGAGTTTCTTATCACGAATAAGAGTGATGTGACTTATTTCCTAATATTTTTATTTCTTATTAGGAAATCTAATAGAAGGATTTGTTTGCACCGTAAGTTATACTTTGAAAGAACTTGATTATCCAAAATAGAATATTGATTATGGATATAAGAGTCAAGAAGAGAACAATGAGAAGAATAACATGGGGCTCCCCATATCAAGTAGTGACATTTGGAGAGCAAAAGACAAGATTTTCCAATGCAAAATTTTTTAGGGAAGTTTTAGCAACCACAAAAAAAATGCAAATGATATGTAGAACAAGATAACATAAGAAATTAGAAATGTAGTAAAAGAGACATCGAAAGAATCAAGAAGTTTTAGACCTAGAGATAAATAACCATGTTGGTAAAATGAAAGCGTTCATAGTAAAATTATAGTATCAAAGAAATTGTTTAAAGAATGATTTAGGTGTAAAAGTGTCAAAAACATGAAAAAATAAAATTTAAATAGTTAAAAACTGGACCAAAAAGATAGTGATTGAAACAAAAACTCAATTTTTTTAAAAGATTATACAAATCCTTAAGAATCATGGATAGATAAAAATCTATATATATGATCATTGGGGAAAAAGAAAGACAGACAAAATATGGTAGGTTAGAGAGGTGCAATTTGTATGTCCAGGGTTCAGCTCAGCTCATGTGTTGATATTTATAAATCAACTTTTTAATAAAAAAAATAGTAAAAGATTTAGGTCAAGTAAAGCATGTTAAAGATGAACAAGGTAAAATTTTGGTTCAAAAAATAAATATAAATGATAGATGAAAGAAATATTTCGACAGTTTATTTAATGAAGGATATGATATCTCACTGAACTCTAATATGATAGACATTTAAAAAAAGGGTCAAAATTATAACTACTATTGTCAAATTTAAAAAGTGGGGTCAAAGAAGCATTAAAAATAAATAGTAATAGTGAGGAGGCTGGACAAACATCACACATATTAAAGTGTAAAAATCTTGAAAATAGATGCATTGGTGGCTCACCAAACTTTTTAACAAATTTTGATGTCAACAAAAATGTAGGATGAATAAAGAATAAACACTTTAATTTTAATTTATAAAAACAAGAAATATAAATCATATAAATTATAGGAGAATTAAACTTATGAATTATACTACGAGATAATGGGGGAAAAAATGGTTGAACACAAACTAAGAAAAGAAACTCAAATTGCTAATAATCAATTTGGTTTTATACTTAAAAGATCGACCATGAAAGAAATTTATTTACTGCAATGTATGATGAGACATTAAATGGATCAACAAAACTTTTAATTTTTATTGAATTGAAAAAGACATATGATATAATGCTTATATGATATAATGCTTAGAGAGACTTTGTGGAAAACTCTAAAGAAAAAAGAGGTTAGAATTATATATTTGAACTATTCAGAATATGTATGAGGAAAAAATAACTAGTGTGTGACACTAGTTCGAGAGACAAACGATTTTCCCACAAAGTTTAATCATAAACATTTACTTTTCTACTTTAGTTTTAAGTATACTTACTACACACATTCAAGAGTTAACACCAAAATATATGATTTTTACAAATGATTAATCTTCCTCAAAGAGTTGGAAGAGGATTCAAATGAGAAAAATTGAAAACAAACCCCACACCAAAATATATGATTTTTACAAATGATTAATCTTCCTCGAAGAGTTGGAAGAGGATTCAAATGAGAAAAATTGAAAACAAACTCCAAAACATGATTTTTGCCGTAGAAATAAGACGAAGCAATAGAATGTAAATTACACAAAAGGAGTAATATTTTAAGATATAAATAAAAATTAAAGATCCTGTATTATCACAAATTATGTGATTTAAATATCTTGGATTTATAGTACAAAATAATAGAGAAATAGAAAAAGACGTTAATCATTAAATTCAAACTTTATAAAGTACCGCATAAATTAAAATTAACAGTAAAAATAAAGATGTTATTTTGAATATGCGGTAAAACCAGAAGAGATAAAATTATAAATGAAATATTAATAAAAGTGTTAGAATAACACCTATAGCATAAAAATGTTGATAAATATGTTTAAAAATGTTGATAAATATGTTTATGTGATTTGAGCATAAGGAGATTAAATAAAGAATTGTCATACAACTAGAAATAGAACAAGAAAACATAGAAAAACTATAATAAAACAGTATTTATAAGATCTCGACTTAAGGATTGGGATAAAAACATGATATATTGATTAGTCTACTTTTGAAGGCATTGGCTGCCTATCTTCTTTTCCGCTTACACAAATTATTTGCGTTAAAGAACCACAATAGATGAATATGATTAGCAATTAAGGAATCAATCATTTCAAAAACATTCTTTTTTCGGAAGGTTTCACCCGTGTAAGAAAACATGATCATTTTATTGGTCAGCATATATATCACTCTAAATCAGAAGCATTAAAGGATTAAAGAATGTGAATAAAGAAAGAAGTGAAAGTGGTTAAGATTTGGATGATTGAAAGTCCTTACCCAACTCATTGGAAAAGAATTATAGAACACGTCGTACTTTAAATCATGAACATATATCAATCTCACTATCACGATGCACATCTGAAATCATAATAACAATTAGCCATGCACATTTGAAGGTTGAGGGCGTGACACAATGCACAATCACTCTCTGGCATTCAACTACAATGATAGCATAAAAAGGAACGGATATTGTGGTAATGCCACGTTAGCTACCTAACTGCAGCTAACCTTGCCATGGAACAGTGTCACATTTTCCTTCACTGGTGACTGAACTTCCCCGTCAAGTCAGAGTTTTGCCTCTTCTCCAACAATTTCTGAAATTATTAGGGATTACATGAGTGGTTTAGACACCCATGTGAATCCTGGTCTGGAAAAAAGATATGAACTATTGTTTGTATTCGACCAAACATACTGTATGCAATCATTCATGCGATCGCGTTATGTCCAATGCTAATAAGCAAAACAACACCATTTCAATTTCAATATAACAGATGAAAGCAACATAAAGAAAGTGAAGGCCATGCAAGAGAAGAACCAAAAATTATATTAACCGTCATGTTTTGCAATAACATGTCTCTAATAAAAATCTATGCAAGGCATCTTATGTAGTATCTCGATATCAACTAAACATTTCAGTTGAAAAACTATACACAATGTAAGCATTCTACTCTCCATTAATTTCCTGAAACCAACACAAGGGACTCTGCATGAAAAATGGAATTAACACCAATGAAATGTGAAAACCAAACAATCAAAATACAGCCATAAGCTCAGTTTGCAACACTAGTATGATTTTGTAACCTCAGCTTATCAAAAACGAACATGCAGTATATTTGACCTCTCGTGTTGATACTGAAGATATGTAATGTACTATTCAATGGGAGGGCTGAAAGCCAAGGCCTACACCAAAGAAAGACAGAATTTATAATTATCTTATTCACAGTGATATATTTACAAATATCTAAGTATATGGGAAATTGGGAATGAGTGGGAGAAACCTGAGCACAGACAGGGCAAGTTTCACTTCTTTCCATCCACTCCAGAACGCAAGCAAGATGATAGTGATGCTCACACTTTGTGCTTAGTTTTGGATTCTCTGCATCATATTCTGCTTAGATATAAAACACACATTTGTGAACAACCCTCCATTTCAACCAAAAACAGGATAAACTTCACATGATAAATGGCTAAAATAGTTAATTTCAGAAATTTAATGAAGTGTGGCCACATCACCTTCTAAACATATCGGGCATCCATCCTCTTCTTCTACTAAATTTATAGGTTCTCCCAACTTTGGAAGTTCAATTTCAGAATCCTTTGCTGAGTCTAGTTCTAAATCAGTCTGACCTTTGCATTCTGATTCCTTCAGTTCTTCTGACTTAGGTGAGGTTCCATGATTGTCTCCAGATGGTTCTTGAACTGAATTAGAATTTGTATTGTTCTTGTCGCAGGAAATTTCATGAGCCACAGGTGCAGTCTGAGTGGCATCCAATGTCACATTGAAAGGGATAGGAGCAGGAGGGGGTGTATAAGTATCAGGACTTGAAGTATCTAGATTAGTATCAACCAAGAGCCTTCCAGAGAAAGCAGAGGGAGCACCTTGATGAGAAGATAGTGGAACATGCTCATCTGATGCTCTTGGATACTGCTGAGAAAATGCAGCAAATGAGTTAATATCATCACAGATTGATTACACAACTATCAAAGAATAAACAAAACGTAATCATAAACTCGGTTATAAATAGATCAAAACCATCAATTCCTTTCTTATTTATTAATCAAAACTCCGGTTAGTTGATTCCCATAAGTTCAACAGTGTTGGGAGGAGTGGTCTCATGGCTCAAAGAACACTTAAAAAATGCTTACAAATTATTCATCACTAATTTCCTCACAGGAACGGAGGATTCAGACGGATTCAAACTTACGCCAATATAGTATGAGCAGTATGCCGACTAGTCGGACCAATCTCTGTTCACTTACATCAATTACTTTAACAAAAGCATATAGGAGGATAAGAGTGTTAGAAGATAGTTTTGTGACTAAACTATAGTTAGTTAGTGGTGGCTAATAAAGTTTTGACCTATCCTATCTATTAGAGTTAGTTGACAGTTATTGCCTCCCATACTGCAGATATAACCAATTGCACCTTCTGTTGAATCTAATGAAATCACTTTTTCACCTTCAAACATTTCCATTATATACACCATTGGATAATCAATTTGATACTTCTCATAAATATGGACCATAAACTCAACCATTTCTCTAAAGATCAGTTTATTTCCTCACACAAACAGATTTCATTGAGAATATTCTGAAACCTTCCCTCAGTAGGTGACCAGGGCAACCTAACAAAATTTAAAACCTATGAAGCAAGGACACCGGAAACACAACACCGACAATGTCACGTCGACACAAAAATTAATAAATTAACCGTAATCACAAGTGTTGGTGTCGGTTTCAGACACAGATACGCCTTTTTTCAGAGGTGTCATTGCTACCGCACCTTCCAACCTACTAACTATACACCTATCTATTGAAAGCTATGATTGTGGCGCTATCAACTATGTGGCACCACTGACACTCCAAATCCAAGTAGTGTCCTTGTATCACACAACACTAAAATATAATTACAGTCAACAGCTTCATTTTCTCACATTACTACATGGCGTCGCATGTCAGTAACTAGTCGTGTTTGTAATTCAGTGTATCAGTGTCACAAAATCAAAAAATATATATAAAACGCTTCTTAAAAACAAAAGCTAAAGAAAATCATGAAATTTAAATATGAAAAGGAAAGGATGATTACATAATAGTAAGCAGGCGGAGCACTCAACTCAGTCTCCTTGAAAGCACAACAGCAACAACCGCCCATAGTACCTTATCTCCAGCAACCAACAATTAGCATTGGACGCATCTTTTCACCTTCATCAACTTATAAACACAGAATCCTTCTAAATTCTTTGCCCTACCAATCAAATAAACAAAAAAAAATATTATAAAGATAATTTCAACAGTAACGTAACAATAACATACAATCATTATTTATTTTTCATTCGATACTTCATTTCTTCACAAAATCAAATTCACCAAAAAAAGAAAGACTACAACAAAAATCACGATCGAGCATGCGTGAAAATCATTCCACTCCACTCCAACAGAAAGACAGCAACAACAATATCAATAACAGAATCTCCAAAACTCAATCAATCCGATTAATCACATCGAGAAAAAAGAAATACGAGCAAAAAAAATCAATAATAAGGTACGATTTCATGATTAAAACTGAAAAAAAAAACTACGATTAACCTAGAATCGTAACGGTGAATCTTACACGAAATTCGAGCTATAGTATCGAACAGTTGAACTGCAAAGCAAGAAAACGAAGACATGAGATAACTGACGAGAACTGAATCGGTAGAAAAAGAGGATTAGCGATGGAGGAATTTACCTTACGATTAAGGAATGAAACTGAAATTGAGCAAAGAAGATGAAGGAGAAGAGAAAGTGTGTGCGGAAGAGTTGCGAGTGTGCGAGAAGGAGAGTGCGGGTTTCTTACGTGTATAAGAGAGAAAGATTGGCACGGAAATATTGAAAATTCTTCCACTTAACCCTTTCATTCACTTTCATCATTCTTTATTATATATCCACCGTTTATTTTTCTCGCATGGACCCGCTTTTCACTGGAATAGGCCCGATTCTATTATGTTTTGAACTTTTTTTGCGGATTTGCCGGTTTTTGTATTAACCTGATTTTCTGTTTAAATTTTTAAAATATATCATTTTAATTTTTTAATTAAATCTGCAAAAATTTAAAAATAATTATTACGTAATTAAAGATACAAAATAAAAAAAATCGTTAGAGAATATGTGTTTTTTTAATATATGATATTTTATAAATTTTAAAATATAAGTACAATCTCCACTTTTAAAATTATATTTTTTGTGTGGGTGGACCAACTAATAATAAATCCTACAAAGTCACACAAGTTAAAAATATGGTGATGAGGTTCAACCTAAATGTATTTAGGTTTAATGGTAATTTTAGTTTTTCTATTTTTTTTATTTTTTATTTTAAAAAAATTATTATTTCCTCAAATTTTTTATATTTAAATTCAGCCTTTCACTTTATTTGAGTCTTAATTTTGATGATGCCGTAAACTGGCAATCGAATTGATGAGGTGAAAGAGATTATATTATAATTGAAATTCCACTTCATTTATAATTATAGTTTTATCTTGATAATAATATAAATTATTATATTATTAAAAAATATATTTAATTATAATTTTAATCCTTCTATTTTACTTTATTTACGAAATTAATCATCATATTTTAAATTTAAATAATTTTGATCCTCCTCTCATATTTTTAATTTTAAAATTAATGATATTTTTATTTTTTAAATGACAATTTACATGTAAATCATCGTCTATGAATCTATTATTGTAGATAAAAATATATCTTAAAAAATAAAATTTTCATCAATTTTCTATGAAACAAACGAAGAGGAAACTAAAATTATTTGAATTTAAAATAGAGGAATCAAAACTGTTTAAATTTAAAATAGAGGGACTAATATCGTGAATCAGACAATATATGAGGACCAAAACTGTAATTTAGTCTAAAAATAAGAATCAAAACAAAAAAGAACTTAAATTAAATCATAATTAATTAAAAATAATTTAAATTGTTAAATATTCTTTTTGGTAGATTGCTAAAAAGAAGAGATAGTTAATCCACAAAAACAAACGACGGGAGATAATGTTGTTAAGCAAATTTATTTAAGAATTCAACATTTTAACTCTATCATCTTTGATATTAAAATTTTGGTACTTTCAGGTTTGAGAGATAATTCATTCGACAAACAATCTATCAGAGATCTGTGGGAGCATTTGACTCGTTTCTACGAGACACGTTCAATGCGCAAGTCAAATGATGTGAGTGATGATCATATTAAATTAAGGTTGTTTGGGTTTTCTATAATAGGTAGAGCCAAAGATTGGTTGTAGTGTATACCTAGTGGTACTATTCAAACTTGGAAAGAATTAGAGGACAAAATTCCGGAAATATTTTTCACAAACACTTAGTTTGTGGAAAGAAGAGCATAAATTTCGAATTTTGAATAGGGTGATGCAAAGTCTTTATCTAATACATAGGGGAAATTCAAATTATTACGCAGAAAATATCTTAATCACAACATGAGCAATATGGAACAAATGCACCATTTCACTAGAGGTCTCAAAGTCTAAGCAAAAATGTTTTTGGATGTCTCAAATGGAGGAACCATCAAAATTAAGAATGTAGACGAGGTGAAAGAGTTAATAGAAATAATATGCCATAATGAACATCGCTCAACAAATAAAAGAGAGATCAAACTAAAAGGTGTCCTTGAATTATATTCAAATATTAGAGTGCAAACTCAACTACAGTTGATCTCAAACCAGTTAGCTGGAGCCGCTTTTGCCAATGATAGTCAAGTTCAAACACTAAGGTGCAATTTTTGTTAATAAGGACATGCAACGGAAACTTTGTATCAAAGGGGGTGAGTGTTGAAGTTTAATATGCTAATTTTTAAAAGAATAATCATTATTCCAACACTTACAATCTCAGTTGGAAATATCATCTCAATTTCAAGTGAAGCAACAATCATATTATGAATGCAAATAAAGTATTCTACAAGTAAAGGCGGATCCAGAAACTTTGGATTGTGGGGGCAAACTTATGTCATACCGACTATTTCGTGACATCGTTAGAACATATTTGATTGTTTTGCGGCGTCTTTATAACATATTATGGTAAAAAGCCTGCAATATTGGTCGATATTTATTACTACGACCTCAAACAATATCATATACATCCGCCACAACGGTCATGGTGCACCGATACTTCATAACATTAATCTATAAAATAATTTAAAAAGCTAAATATTTAAAAATTTAAAAAAATTATATAGCATAATAACTTTTTTAAATATATATTTTTTTATCCATAAACATACTTAACATCAATAAAATTATAAAATTAAAAAAAAAAACTAAAATATGTACCATTTAAAATTATTACATGTAATATTTTCTTAAAATTTAATTTATGATGACAACAATTATATCTTATTTCAAGATAAAGGCCAACCTTTTATTGTGCTATTTTTTTTTTCTTTGTGGGGGCAAGAGTCCCCTTAGCAAGACACATAGAACCGCCACAGTAAGTTCTTCAAGCACAATCATAAAGAAAATTATCGTAATTTGAAGAAGTTTTAACTCAATTAATAAAGGTGATTCATATTAATTTTGAATAAGTATGAAAGAATCAAAAAATTGTATTCAAGAATCGAGAAACTATGAGTAAGAATATTGAAGCTTCCATCAAAAATTTAAAAATTAAAATTGGCCAATTATCTAGACAATTAACAGCACAACTTACTTTAAGTAGAGTTTTGGTGGGAGAAAAGAACTAAAAGATGGCGAGAAATATAAAACCCTATTTTTAATTATTAATTAAGAATCTTTAGTTTTTATCCTTTAGTTAATTATCGAACAATCTACTTTCATTGTTTTATTTTGTGACTATAATATGCTAAATTTCTAATTGATTGTGCTTAATTCTAAATTCATGAGATGGGTGAATTATTAATTGTTATTTTGTCAATTCATTTAATTTATGTGAAGTAATATAAAATGTGCGATAATTATATTAAGGTATATGATAATTAAATAAATTATTTAAATAGGTAAGTTAGAACAAAATGTGAATAATAACACTTGACGTGTGTACGGTGGATTTAGAATTTGAATTGTGGAATTAGTAATTAGTCATGTGAGTGTATTATAATGATAATAATATACTAATAATAAAAACCAAGTCAATTATTTCTCCAACTCGTTTTCTTTTATTCTCTCATGATTCCCATTTCCTCTCAAGTTTCATCTCTAAAAATTTCATCTCAATTATTTCATCTCTAAAAAAATTAAAGAAAAAGTATAATGCTCTTCTAGTTATCATGATTTCGGTATATTGGTAGAGATACTGGACAATAGTTATACCAAATTAAAAAAACAAAAATGATATTTAGTGTACAATAGAATGACAGCGGCTAAATTATTAAAGTTTCAGTCATATAGGAAAAAAAATTAAACTAGTATTCAATATAGTATCAATCATATAGGAAACAAATTAAACTAGTATTCAATATAATATACACATATGTTGTTATATTTCGGAAGTAAATAATTATTTTATCTTGTGGTGTGTAAGTGGCAAGAGTTATGATTTTGTTTTTATGAGTATGACAAAGTATATTTATTTTGTGTTTGTTTTAGTGGCTGATAAAATTTCTTTATAGTTGTTTTAGTGGTGGGTGATTCTATTTTATTTTTCATCAGACATATGCATTTTTGTGTGGTGTTTTAGTGACGAATTATTTCTCCATTTCTATGGGATGTATTATGTGTTGTGCCTTAGTGGCGGGCTGAACTATTTGGATCATGTAACTTAAGAGCATGCATATTTTTTATATATAACACTTTATGTTTGTTGTTGTTGTTAATCGTGAGTTGATTATTTTATGTGCATGCTTTTATGGTTAGAGTTTGATATTAATAACTTTTGTGAACTTTCTCTTTATTTAATTCTCTCGGACATGATATGTATATTTATATTTGTCTGGTTTTTAACTCTCGTTTAATTTAATTTGACATGGATTGTGGTTAATGGAAACTGGCCCTTTACAACAACATTTTAGGTACAAATGTGGAGTTTCAAAGTGATTGATGTTTGCGTGATGTGTGATCATGGAGAAGAATGGGTTTTCAAAATAAAAATATTTCAGTAGTTTATGAATTGATTACATTATATTTTGAGTTATTTACTTAT